TATAAACTGCACTTGCTATATACTTCCCCTTTAATTCGTGGTGCAGACAAATTTTGTTTTTCCCGTCGGCTTTTATAACCTGGGGTCCTGATAAATTGTTTTTTTTGGTTTGTATCAATTAATGGGTGTATGTCAAATCAGAGCACATATGTAACATTATCTGGTTGCTTCCATGTATAGATTAGCGGCTAATTATTGAGGGGATTTAAATTAGTTTTTAATTAAATACTCCATTGTCATTTTTTTTGTAATTACTTCATATGTTTCGCTTTCACGCAGATTAACAAAATAAACTATTGCAACTTGTACTATACGTTTTTTTATTTGTAACAAGATTGGTTCCAAACATTAACAAGGTTCAATAAAATGATCATACGATTTCTTTAACCCATAAGCTAAACTAATAAATTATAATTTAGAAAATATAAAAAAATGTATTATAAAAAGAGAGAGAGTACCATTTCATTAAACATATACAACATGAAATATAATGTTTACATTGACATATACATCATTTTAAAGTTTTATAAATATTTGTGAGAATTGTAGACGTACAAAGACATTTTTCCGAAATCGTTTAGTGTTTGCCATACACTTTTTCATTAAAAAAAGTACAAACTAATTATTTAATAAACACTGAAACACAAACTAAAAATTTTAGAAAAAGAATCAATCCAGCTCTTAGTAAACTATTTCTAAAAAAAAGAAAAGAGTTCTTATTGGTAAACTAACATTGCAGTACTAGTTTAATTAGCTGATGTTACAGTTCAACTTATAAGCTAACATTTTACATAACCAGAAACAATCCACCTGATTTTTTCAACTTGTGAAACAACCACCAGAAAAAAGTCAATCACAGTGTTTACTGTTTCAACTGTCAATTTTGTTGCTATTCCATTAATGTAGTCCACATTTTACGCCAAAAAAAACAAAATTGGCTATAAACCAAAAACATGCAATTAACAAAATTCACTCTTTGGTTAATGTGTTTTGTACTAAAAACAAGAAATTAATATAAGGAGGTATCGAGTCGTCGAGGTCGAGGTTAAGGAGTGATGATGACACTTCATGCTGAGATCATGCACCCGCAATATTCCACGTGGCGCACATGTAATATGGGTTTGGTCGTCAACCATTGGATTTTGGGCCCCACTTCTCCTCTTCTTCTTTGCCTTCATTTTGAGATTTGTACTTTTGTTTGTACCCAATACCCTCTCACCATTTTTAAAAAAATATAGAAAAATTAGGTTGAATAACCCAAAAAAACTATAATAAAAAATTTAACTATTTAACCTAAATTTAATGAACATATATAAGCCATATATATTAATTTTTGTTAAATGACTAATTATTAAAAAAATTGGCTAGTAAACAAATTAACCCAAATATATATATAATTTTAAGATATTTTATATCTAAGTATCGAATTTGGATGCAAATTAAACATATTAAATTTAGATGAAATCTTGGATGATACAACATTGAACTTTTAAGCTACAAATAAGCTCTAAACTACCATAAAATTGTAGATTACTACACAAATTCAAAAGGATGATATGTGTGCTGTGTGTGTGTTAATTATTTTCAACAAATATCGCCGTATTCAAAACACTATACGTACATCAAGATTACTTGATATTAAAGTTTATTATCAAAGGATGAATATTAATGCAACATATAATTGCTTTTAACATTAAAAACACATATTCAAAGTGTGTAGAGACTGTCAATTTTAGTAACGCTTAATGAGATCAATATGCAATATAGTTTGTATTTTGCCTCTCTTCAACATAATGGGTGTCTCGGAGGCAATTTCAGGTCCATCTAACTAAAGAGACCACTATATATGTGTGTTTCTATGCTAAAATTATGAATATATTTTAATCAACAAAGAAAATAAATTACGAATACATAAATTATAATGTGTTTATTAATGTTTTAAGTATATACGAAGTAAACTTTAAAATTTATCAATCTTTCTCATACGCAGTCTCCCTCAAGTAGCAATCAATGGCTTTTGTTATAAAATTGAGATCCACACAAACTCAAACACTGCCCCAAGATTGAGAGTTTAACTGAATTTTCTTCTTTGGACCCACTTTCTCTCTTAAAATAATTGACACTCTTGTTATCATCTGCTTAAATAATTGAC